GAAATTGTGCAACATCACTACGAAAGTGCAACAATGAGTGAATGCCGTATAAAAAAAATTACGAGGGCGCCTGCTGCGATCGTCAGGCCAAGGATATTAAGGAATGGTATCACTATGATGAAATGGACCATTTCAAGTACCTCGAAACCGTGTTGATGAACAACTGCAAAATTGATCTTGAAGTGAATCGACGTATCGGATAAGCATCAGCGAATTATCGCAAGCTATATAAAATATGGAAGGATCGGAATATTAGAAATGATACGAAGATCCCCATTCTGAAAAAAAACCGTATTTATAATGCTCATATAGTGTCGAAACATCTGCCGTGAAGAAGGGTCATTAAATCCATTTTTGCAGCTTCTAACAGCCTCCTCTGCATAGCATCCTCATTTTGCGAAGGGTTACGAATGAGCAAGGCCGACAACCATTAGTCTAAGAAAACTTTAAGATAAACTCAAAGACCAGCGCCAGTTATGGCTTTATAAAATGAAGGAAATATAAAAAACAATAAAATACAAAACATAAAACCACATCGCTAAGGCAGGCCAGTGGCGAAGAGAAATATGACGTTTCTGTAGCTGTTAAAATAGCCTAACATCAATCTGAGATACCATTTCTAAAAGTCAGACATAATATATCTTCAATATCCACAGTTTAATGTTGGCTAGTCTTTGACGACAATGACACAACAACTACATTAGTGCCCAAATGTGTGCAAGTGCCAAACTGGAAAACTTCGGCTCCGGTGGGACGCTCAGCTAAGAGAAAAAAGGAAACTTGTCACGACAAACCGCACGAATAGAAAAACGTTGGCATTGACACTAGGAAAGTGATCCCCATTAATTAAAAAGAATCAGTCAATATACATCATACATCGTATATAATATATTGTAGCAAAAATAGCATCTTACTATAAACTATCACCGTTCTTTGATACAAGTTAAGAAAATTCTTTTCTGCCACTTCACAGCTTTCCTTCATCGTGACCAATACTTGCTGAAGTTGGTCGAGTGCTGACGTTATGGCCTGCGAGTTCTGAAAGCGATGCAACTACAAGCTGAACACGAACGAAACTTCAAAAAAAATATGGCGACCAACCTGCATTACGGTCGCTTTTAAAATCCCGGTAAGTTTATGCATTTCCTCCATTGTTCTTTTGCTCTCTTGCTGCCGAAGAATGGCAGTCTGCGTCACCTCATTCAGTTCCCTCTAAAACGAAACAATAACTGAAATAAAGCATAAACTGTCTTAGCTTTACAAACAATTAAATTAATTAATCAGAGAAATAATTAACTGGAGTTAAAGCGAGAAGGCAGCTAAAAATTAGACGCTCGACTGTCATTCAGTCAGTTGCGATAACCGCTTATCCTTTCGAATTATGGAGGCACACACGTCAGACATTTTTTCCATCGTTCTCCACCCTGCGCCTGATTTGAGAGTCGGCAGAAGGTAACCGAAGACCGGATCACAGTCCTTCGAAAAATTTGCCCTAGGTAATTCTCGACCTTTCGGTCGAGTAAGAAACAGCTGTTTCACCTCCCATTTTGGAAGCGTTTGCAAAACGTGCCGAATCAATCACAGTTACGAGTTCTCAATGTGGAGAAGCAGCTGATGGACACCAAGGTTTACTCGAAAATGGGAATGCTGTCATGCCTGCTCCTGCAAAACTTGCAATCAAAAGGCTTGCTCCTGATCTCCTAAAGTGGAAGGTGCACAGCCACACCACTGTACAAAAGCTTTTATTCAATACACGCAGGAAAACGATATAAAAGGACGGTTTTCATTAGCTTGGCATCTTATTCAGCGAAGTTGCAAATATTAAGACATCAAATCATCTATCTCTTTAATGTGACAGCCTTTTGCTTCATGTTGCTTTTGTCTCTGTTGCGTTGCTCGTACTTCCAGATTTTGTTAGTTCAATTTACTCAAGTGTGATTCTGTTCTCTGTTTTGCATCTTCTGAAATGTACAAAATTTGTATTTTTTTCTTTCTGCTTGAAAATGAAATTGTTTGGCGATCCCCTTCAAGCAGCAAACTGTTCATTCATACGTGGAGTCACAGCACCATAGGTCACACACAGGTACCTAAGGAACCATTTGAATGGATCAGCTATGCATGGCGAAAAATAGAATAAAACGAGGTTTAACGGTATACGGCACAAGAAATAATATGGTCTGATGTGCATGTACTAGAGATTCGATGCACCATCGCTCATCATAAATGACGTATGACTGGCACCTGGACCGTGGCCGTTGGCAATGACGGAGGTGTACCGCTCCATAGCCACGTTCGACAATTAACACAGATACCCCGTCGTCCGTCGAACAAACGACGGCGAATTCCCCGCCCCCTTTTACACAAGTGCTAAGAGCCATCAAGCTGTTGCTTGCTGATATAATTCTACGTATATAACGATTCTGCCCACTCAGAATTTACAGCACCGCCCCGTAGGTGCAATTCTGTATGCCAACAACATAGCAGACTGTCGATTCATCGCATCGTACGCCTGTTCCATGGCGAAGTATGTCGCAGCGTTTAGTCATCACTAATGATAGCAGGGTTCGTCGTACCACCAAATGAGAACATGATCAAAGGGGAATGAATGAAACCAACTGTCAGTTCAATAATATCCACGCGACACGCGTGAGAACCAAGTACCATCCAACTTTTCACTTCATACAAAACGGTGGGAGAAGAGCGGCAGTTTAGAAAAGCTTTAACGACGTGTAACAACAACAAAAAATAACATGCAGAAATTTGAAATGCTTACAATAGATATGCACACTAGTCAAAAGCTAAAATGAACCGGACACAATAACATCGCGCGGCGTGTTCTCGTATAATGTGACTCGTATAACTTTACTACCTACCTGCAACGAGGTGAGGTCGACAGCTGTCGCCACACGCATGCTGTTGGACGTAGTCATACGTGAGCCGCCGGTTTCACCCATCGTGCCTCCATCTATGCATGGTATGGCGCAAGCATTGCAACATTACGTAAAGACCATTTTATCAACGATTGTAAAACGCCATATTGACGTCGTTCTCTTGTTCGATAGCAGCAACGCCAAAGCGACCAATCAGATTTCAAGAAACACTCAGCATATCGATCGCATTGTGGCGAAAAGCTATCGAGCGATCACTGGGAACTCAGGTAGATCGATCAGAATGCAATATCGAGAGGCAATCGATCAGTAACAGCGTCATTCCGTATCAAAGAGTACCGTACCATAAATAACGATCGATAGGTAAGACAGTTCCGGTTGGCAGTGTGCCAAGTTGCTAGCTACAGGTTAATTATATGCAAGATCAATATGTTTATATTTTGAACAATTTTTTTTCAGTTTTTGTCGATAAGTTAACCTATTTTTATTATAAATTATCACTCGTTTAACGAAAAGTTTAGAAAATGGAGATCTAGCCTTAAAAAGTCAAATTTATATAGCTCTCAAGAGTAGAGGAGTCTCGAAAAATCTAACATCTGATTTGAAATGAAGGGTTATAAATATGCATTTTGTTCTCGTGACGAAAACTGTTCCAACGATGCTTCATGCAAAAGAATGAAATCATCCTAAGAAAGAAGGAAACGAGAGTACCAAGCCTTGGACAGGTCTCATATCTGTGTTTAAATTTTCATTTATCGTTCAGAGTTTGCAATTTTTGACTGCTGACGATAATTATTTCATAATTCAAACAATCAGACTAGTTTCTGCGTCAGGCTATTGCGTAATGAATCGGCAACAGCATTTTATGGCTTTTTTTTGTGATTTCATGTTTTTCGTTTCTCGCTTGAAAACAGCTCAGTCGTGTTTTACTTAGACTAAAACACGTTTACAATTGGTTTCACTAATAAGAAGTAACTGCTATATTTATTGATGATATTTAATACATTTGAACATGAGCTACAAAAATTCGTATTTTCAATACGGCTTAGGAGATTGACTGATAATGGGAACTGAAGAAGTCATCATATGACTTCCGGTTGCATAGTAGTTACTGTAGTTATGCAATTAACGCACTACTCAGTGCATTGATATCAAATTTCACGAATATGCATCCGTCTAGCACCAGCTTGTAAAAGACTAGAAATGGAAAAATTCCTGTGGATCGCAGTACAGTACTCCTACATTTCAGTTATTCCAGCAACTACGCTATTATTGTTTCTGTATTTCCTCAATGCTATATTTTCAATTAACGAAAAACAAGTGCTTTTTTCCTTGCTACCTGTCATGTACTCGAAATTATATCTCACCAACGGCAGATCCATTGCTGATTACCGCCATTACGTAAGAAAGAATTTCAGAATTGCTAAAGTTTGCAGCAAAAAATGCTTGGATGCCGGTATGATACATATGTATCAGTTTAGTAACAGTACATACATTGTTAAATAGAATAGACAAGCAGAGAAAAATGTTTTGCTTTTGCAAGTCAACAAATTTAAGCACCTATAAATAAGGCAGACCTAATTTTTTCTTTCTGCTTGCTCTGGAATAGCTATCCTAGAACATTTGGTACTATTCTCTGTTGAATTCTGCACATTTATTTGTTCAATTGCCGAAAATTCAGTTTTGCTAGTAAACCCATAAGATCTTGTTTATTTTTACATACTAATTTCTATGCTGTCAAAATTTTTTAAAATGTTTCGAAGAATTTGTAGAACAAATATGACGTTATTGCTAGAAAAGTTTAACAGAATTATAGCCTGCAATGATTGCAATTGTAATTTTTACTTGCTCATGCTAAGAACTGTCTTAGTTACTGGCAGCTCGCTGGTCAGACATGAAAATCAAATAATATGTAAACAGACGATTGCATGTTAATACGCAAACGAATTCTACCTGGTGTATCGCACTCAGGAAAAAAGGACTGAAGAGTTTCTTCAACCGCCTAGAAGTTAGCAAGCGAGCGAGCGATGAATGGTACCAGTAACTTCCGCTACGTTTTAGTTAGAGCGGGGATGAGTACGTATTTTGATCGATGCTTTGCCTTCTTGACTAATAGCTTACTAGACTATCGTTGTCAAATGAACAGAATTGAGAGAATCTTAATCCAAGCGCTTCTGTTGCCATTATAACCTGCTTTGCTATTTTTGTCACTCCCTCTTTGATGCTCATGCGACTGGTTCAGCAAATTCCCTTGATGCATGGGTACAATAAAATGGCATCTTACCTTGAAGCGCTTGGACGAACATTGGACCGCCATATGTTATCACTGGGAGCATACAAGTGAAAACAAATTATTGCATAACTTTGTGACTGTTCGAAACCTGCTGAAGTCTACGAGGAAAATAGCACAGTTGACAGTAATTCTCGATCACCGTTTTTACATCCACAGACCAGAATAGGCTCTTGCTAATGGAGAGAGAGAGATATGCTTCTGAGTCACAACGACTAACTGCTCTGTGTAAACTATAGCTTCTTGTTGATCAGCCAAGGATGATAATGAATGACTTGATGATAATCTAGAAAAGGTTGAGGTTAATGATGCTGTGCAAATAATGTTCTCTTGGTTGAGATTATTACAACCCTCTGTTGTAAATGATTTGCTTATCCATTGTTGAGGACACAACACAACGCCGATGTTTACGCTTTATTACCCACGCATTTCGCTACGCATGCCACAGCATTGTTAAGGTGCAGTGGATATTATGATGACTGATCAGATAAGCTGTGATAAAGCCACAGCGTGCACAACGAAAGGCGTTTGAAATAATGTGTTTATATTTGTCTCAGTCATGAATTGGCAAACCAGCTGCAATTCAGCCAGCTGCAATGGGTCCACAACCGGAAAAATTACGTAATATTCATCACCAAGTAAAAAGATTGAATAAAATTTCTTCGTTTTGGGTTAAAATGAAAACTGCACGAGAATAACTTTTTATGCACAAAGCAGAAATTTTGTCAAACGGATGATTGATCAATATCAGCATTTCTTCTCAAGTGTCAAACATCTTTCACAAGGTAGGGTGTAGTTTCGAAAAAAACTTTTTTCGTACGTTCGAAACCAAAATATTCAATCAATGCTCTGTTTAGCTTTATGATCTCATTATTGATTAAATGTTGACATGATTTCAAGTGCTTTGTGATAATAAGCTGAATGCTAAGATACTTTTTCGGATATATTTTAAACAGAAAATATTGCAAATATTGTTTGCACCCGGGTTGAAAGCAGCCGACTCTAAATATTCTGTTATGTCTATGACAAATTAACTGTTAGAGACTACTACCCGCAGTTTGGCAGTTTTTTCTGTGATTTACCATGTTGCATTTTAAATGTCTGTAGTCATAATGGTAGGCATTGAAAATATTAACTCAGACTTGACCAGAATATTGCCTACCCTTTTAGCTGGGAATTACCTTAGAAATTTTTGGCAGCATTGGGGCTTCTGATCCAATTCGCAAAAGCTTGCGATACGTCAATTGTATGACCGGCGATGACTTGCACGATGTGACTGTATTCTATTGGATACAAATAACTAGGTGCTGCTGGTATGTGCAACAAGAGATCGCACGAATGCTCTAAATTGTTTTTAATCTTAGTTGGTTATTCAGTGTTAGGATTATGATACCGACCATTAATTGCAACATCCGCGAAATTAATTTCGCTTTATTTTCTAATTCTTCCGTTTTATGACGCGTGAAATAAATGTCGTCAAGCTCTGAGTTCTTTATTCGGGAAATATTACGTTTATTTCTATCCCTAATGTATGGAGTTTAGCGAAAATATATTCTCCGCGTACTTAACCTTCACTATCAAACGTACAGTAGTTAATGACATTCATTGCTTAATTTATTCAATAAATGTGTTTGCATGATAGAGCCTAGGGCAACGTAATGGCCTAGATGTAGTGCGGTCCGAAACGTCGAGCATTCTGTGAAATGCATACTCTGATATATAAATTCTATATCCAATATGTCTGGATCATAATAGTATCAAAATCCAATACGTTCTGTATTAGCGTAGTTAGTGACGAGTTCGCGTAGAAAATGGTACATTTAAAAAATGCTTGAAGATTCTAATCATACGGCATTTTCCTATGATGCATCATGCAAGCACGTTTATTGAATGTGTTAAGCAATGGACGTCGTATATTACTGTGCTTTTTGATGATTAAGTTAA